CCGTTGACTCGATCGCGTTATATGAAATTCGCATCGGGTTATAAAAACACACGTTCCCCAATAGATTAATTGTGTTATATTCAATTTGCGTTAGTAAAACTACACGTTATAGGAGAATAGACTGTATGAATCTCATTTTCCCTGCGATGTGCCGAGCCTTGTGCAATGCACGGCCGGCACGTGCGCACGCGCAGACGGGTCCCACGGCGAGGGTACAGGTGACCTCACGGCGACCGCCGGACCCGAAGGTAAACACAAGAGAAGTGCCGGTAATCAAGCGGCCACAATTGGAGTTTACGGATATTGCCGTGGAAAAACTCATTACGGGGAAGATGTAAAATCGGCTCAGAGGATCGTTAGACCGTTGAGGGTTCCATCCGTAAAAAGGTGGCGAGCAAACAAGGTTAGGGATCGGCTGTGTGTACACAGAAGAGTCAAAACCATTAAAGCTGCCCGCTCAGACTCGTAAAGATAAGCGTAAATTTCAATAAAACGACACGGACAGCTTAACAGCAGTTAGGCGACATGCTCGCATGTCAACCTCTGTGCCACAGCTGGGACAACGCAGGGAATGGGGTGCCATGGTGGCGTGGTGTTATGCAGGAGGTCGTGAATTCGATTCCATGTTCTCCCGGTGGTCACGTGGATTTTTATCCGGGTCCTCTGGTTTTTCCCTCCACGTTTAGAATCAACGTCACGCGTATTTGGCTTCTATAAACTTCCATATGATGGTAAGCCTTATTGTTGCGCAATCATATCTGAGCAGGTCGAATCTTTAAAAGAGCTACATAGCTCAGTGGGCATTCCCTGGTAAAAATAAACAATAGTTGAGCTTAGTTTTTATGAGGTAAACCAAAACATGCAAACCCAATGCTTCGGAGCGAGCGTCGAGGGCCCAAGCCGACCACAGCGGCGGTGCATCATCGCTCAAACCCCGTGCACGACGCACACACGCGCTCCGCAGTACGAGTCTGCCGCGCAAACGTGACACAACACAGATGCGCGGCATTGCACGTGCACGCAGTACGACATGTATATACGCGATACGGCGCGTGTCCGCGTGGTACGGCACGTGCACGCGGAACAGCACAGTATGGCACGTGCCGGCGCGCACGCGCAGTACGAGCACAGTCTCTGGGTGGTTGTGACATTAAAACCCGGTCAAGAGAACGTGTAACCCAACTTGGCCTCTGCAAAATTAAATTTGCATATTCAAGTTTTATGAGCTAAAAAAAACGGGGTGGGGTTTTTTTCGTTGGGTTACAGAAAAGTTAAAAGTCAAACATCTGTTTGTTTCCGCTGGGAAACCAGAACCGACAATAACCGGCGTGTTCCAGTTAGAGTTAGACTTACAGTCAGGAACAGAAGTTGGGTTAGAGTTAGGGATAGGAATACAAGTTAAGGTTATAATAATAAAAATCTAGAAAAATGTACAACCATTTTTTCATTCCACTAATGGATAAAGAACTCCCTATGCTGCGTCGGACATGCGAGTTGTTTGACCACACTTCACCATGGTGGTCAGTGAGTGTTGATGACCGTTGGAGACAGATCACTGGCCACCAATTTTAGTCATGGCTAGAAATCGAACTCAGGTTGCCAGATTTGTAGCACTGCGCAAGAAACCACTGCGCCTCCATTATTATCAATCATCATCATCAATCAGCTACAGTGGACGAAGGCCTCTGCAAGCCGTTGCCACTTAGCACAGTCCGGCGACAGAGCGATCCGTGTCGTAATGTTTGGTCAGTCTCGACCACCGCCGGACACCATCACCCCACACCCCGGTCCCAGGGACGGACGACATGCCCTGCCCCACGCGTTCAAGTTCAACATTTATTTTGTTGGACCAGGCGAGGGAACTCAAAGAAGCCCGGGTGAGTCTCGACTGCAAGAGCAACCTAGGGTTCGCTAAATTGTAAGAGCAAAAAATCATTCAAGTGCGAGCGATGGGAGCAAATATGACCACGTCACGTGAGACATGCCAAAACATTGGAAATTCCATGCAGCGTTAAAGTTGGCTCAGGCAGGTTAGTTTTAGACTGACCATAGCGTAATTAGAAATTAAGTCACGAAAAATATATTTCTGGTGACTCTTGTTCTAGTATGTAAACAGACAAGCCTATACATCCAATACACATTGGACATATTTCAAGCATACCTACATTTCTTACAATAAAGGAATTCTTGACTTAAAGCTTTCGTGACTGCAGGAATTCATATTATTTGAGTCTTTCGGTAAAGTCACGTAGATTGAAAAAATTACAATAAAATAATAAAAATAAAGTGAATAACAAATCATAATAAAACTCTTTTTTTTCCTCCTGATGACGAATGCTTGTGTTGCGATTGAAACGTTGTGATATTTTTATTAACTTTATTTTTATTATATTGTTATACTTTGTTCTATCTACGTGACTTTACCGAAAGACCCAAAGAATATAAATAAAGGAATTGTATCGTATTATTATTGTGATCCAACGAAGGCCCTCTTTTCCCTGTCTGCTCAGGTCTCCTCCACTGGGTGTTGAGCCTGCTCCTATTCACTCTCCTCCCTCTCTCTCTCTCACCCTTGCCCCCCGGCCCCCCCACCACCACATCATGGCCTCCATCCCTGCCCCCCTTCCATGCCCCCCGCGGGGTGGAATTACACACCTCCACTCCACGGCACAGAGAACAAGCACAGCCCTTCCTTCGGGAAGGCCGGCACAGCGCAGCCCACTCCACGGCGCAGCGGCAACCCGAGACAATAAAAGCCGCCAGGCTCGGCCAGAGAACCAGATACCCCGGTGGCAGGGCAAGCCGAGAAATAAACAGTAGCAATTATAGACAGGAGCCGTGCGGTCATTAGCCGATTGCTTGCCCGTCCGCCTTTGTCAAAGTGTCCATTTCACACCGGGCATTGCCTCCCCCCACCCCAGCCCACTGAAAATGACAAAAATTTAATAAAACAGTCCGTGAAGCTGCATGGTGCGGCGGGTCGCAACGCGATACCAAATTAGCCCGCGTCTCATAATCGGACGCCAACGAGGCTGACAAGCGGCAACGTGGCCCACCGTGCGCGCGGAGGCGGCTCACGAAGCCGTCCCGTTAAGCTGGCCATCAGGAGTAATATTTTTTTTAACGAGCAAAACACGAAACCGTCCATATTACATTCTGCTAATTTGACTTAATGTGTTGCCAAAATACCAGTTAGGCAAACACTGAAATATTGAGTCGCCCCTTAATTAAGCCATGACGTTGGATTGGCCGCAACTTAATTTCCCTGCTCAAATGTCCCCGGCTCTCCAACAAAACGCGGATTCACTCCCGACTCCGTGGCCAATCACCCGCCATCCCACCTACCTCCCCACCCACTGTCCCACCCTGGACTTAAACCATTTAGCCGGCGGAAGAAGGAAACTGCGGCAAGCACGCGAGCGTTGGGCTACTCTTATTTGCGCGATGCCGACAAATTGCATTTTTCATTCCGTCATTCTGCAGCGCGGGCCACAGGTCACGGCTGCTTGCCCGGTTCCTGTTCGCAGGAGGACGTTACGGTAGCGGGGAAGAGGCGTCGAAAAAAAAATAACCAATGACGCTGCAATTTTTTCATTGGCGATATTAACTTATTACAACCTGGCTGGGCCGGGCTGAGATTACAGCACATTCTGGTTATGTGTCCACTCATTCAAGGAGGTCCGTAAAATGAGGACAACCTGAGGGCAGTCGACAGTTGTTATTATGCACAGACGTGATCCTGTGCGATTATGAGACAACTACTGCGATGGTCGCCTGTAATCCAGCAACATGGAAAGTGGGGTTGGTGCACCGCACAGGGATGGCAGTTGCTTGAAATGCTCACCTCCAGGGCAATGCGGTGGTGCCTGTCGGAGGCCGAGCTGCAGTAGCTCTGTGAGAGTTACTTCCTTTTAGTTTAACATGCAGACTTTTACGACCAATATCCATAATAAAGGGTTTTTGGGTTATAGTTCGTAAATATAAATGTGTTGTTAACCTCACCGCCACCCGACACTTAGTAAGGTTTGTCATGTAAAAAAATGTGCCAATTAGTTACGAGTTCAGCACACCGGTGTGTTTGAGAATAAACCCACCCAACTGTAAATGTTGTGGGTTTACTCCCCAACACTCCGGTGCACTGAACTTGTCACCAATCAGCACATTCTGTTTACGTGACAAACCTTACTAATTGGCCGTGTCGGGTGGTGGCGGGTTTAACGAGTTACCTGCTTTGTTTCGTGTGCGCTTGCCTCACAGCAGCACTCCAGTTTCATGCCACACAAAAACAGACCCCTTCTCAAACATAGGAACCGGTGAAAAGTTAAAAAATGGAACTCTCCTAAAAAAATAATTTAAGACACTCAGAGAAGCTATCTCGGACAGACGCAGCAATACTTATCATCATCATTATTGTCATTAATTGCCTATTATTATCGTTTTGCTCTGTCACCAAACCCCTCTGGCATTTTGGTAATACATCAGTGCGAACAAAAAGATAACACATACAGATAAATAACAAAAAAAGTGCTTTAAAAAATGTCAATGGCTGGTGACTCGGAATGAGTGATTGATGATTGCTTTGCTAAGCTCCGGGCCATATTTTTGTGAGAAACTCCCAACTTCTGAGCTGGAAATGTGTCGCCCATCAACTCCGAGCGGGTGGCACAGCGAGCAAAGGCGTAACCACAGCCTGTCAATGCTCCACTTCTTGCCAGCGGCGCATTTGCAAGGCGTTCATTTTCCCCGCAAGTGCAACGCACTGATATCGTTAACCCACGCGCGGAATTTTACAGCAAAAAAAAAAGAAAAGGTCGCACAATTCCGTTCGAGCCACTTTCAGCCGACTCGCCGACTCAACAGCCAAACGTCAAGGACGCATAACGTCTCACGCAGACCACCGGCAAAGTCAGCAATTTCGGGAATCACTTTCCACGTGACGGGCGGAGAACGGACGGCACTGCGGGGGTTACATGGAGGGTATTATTTTCTCTTCACCTCACCTGGTTGGCCGGGCGAGGTCATGGCGTCCGTGGCGACCCGAAGGGGGCCGCCAAACCCGGACCCCCCTCAGCTGCGACCCGCAGAGATGAGAGTGCAGAGGTCACACGACGCCCCTCCCTCGGTCCGAGCCAGCGATGGGAATGGTCGCTATGGCCGCGCCGTTAATTTGTTTACCGCGGGGACTCCCCGGGCTACGAGCGCTCGGCCAACTCGTGACCCTGGGGGAGGGGGGGGGCAGCAGAGGGAGAGGTGAGACCCGCGGAGGTCGACCGTTGCCACGCGGCCCAATAGGAAAACGCAGCACTACGCCAACGGATAATGAAGCGGGGTTTGGTCCGGATGAACCCCCCCGCCCCCGGTCGTATAACCCACACGATGTGGGAGAGCCCTCATCTAGCAGTGGATGAAATAAAAGGGATTTGAATATTACTCAAATGGGACTACAAATAGCAGTCATCGCAACCCTACTGGCAGACTAAGGACGCTCTTGCAAATGAGACCCTATCGCTGGTCTTCCGACTCCTCGCTTGGTTAAACAACAAAAAAACGTTAACCTTGAACTTGAATTAAGCTCAAGCAAAAGCACATCCCTCTCGTACGCGAGGAGAATTCTTTCACAATTATTTTTTCTATGACAAAACGTGACTCAACGCTCGGACAACCTCAACGCAAATGCCTTCCACTTCATATGGCCTCCACTGCTGTTGCATTATTGGTTGGCGTCAACAACACGTGTTTGAGACGATCGCTGGACTGGCTACAGCCTTTGGAGCGGCTTGGCTGGTTTCGCCGGATCGGCCCGGGACCGCCGGATAATGTTGGAAGCCGGATAATCGCGTGCCGGATAATTATTGATGATCAACTGTAGAAGCAAACTGTGGGTCGGTGTCGACATTCAGCATCTCACCAGCAGTGTCAGCTTTGCTGAAAGCCAAAGCTGGTGAACTACCAGATGTTTTGTTGTTGTTGTTGCCACGATCTATTCACTGCCAGATGAAGGCTTCTCCAAAGCCGTAGCTATGCCGCCCCGTCTTGCATCAATCCATCCAGCTCCTGATTTCATCACTGCATCTTCGTGGTGGATGATCTCTCTCTCGGTTTTGTTTCCTTCCTTTGTCTGCCACCCCATTGTTAGGCCGCGACCATGGGCCATCAGCCGTGCCCGTCGCGCGTTTTCACGCAAATTAAGGGTTTATTTGTGCCTTTCAACGGTTGTTACTTCTTTTTCTCTTCCGTTTTTTTCCATTAAATTTTTCATTGTAGAAATAGGCGTCACTTGAAAGAGAAAAAATCACAAGCTCAATAAATTCGCAGCGGGATATTTATCTATTAAAGTATTTCACCCGGATAATTCCTTGAGATGGAACATCTCGCTTGCAAAGATGTGTGTCTGAGCAATGCCCCGCTGGCTTTTGTAAATAGCCCGAATGAACGAGAATTTACCTCTCGGATGCCATGACATCAACATTCAGAGCAGAGCGACAAATTCATCGAGAACACTAGTGGGCAGTTATGCATTAAGGGGTCAGCAATAAATGGGCATTTAATACGGAAACGCACGAATACCAATAATAATGAAATGTGCAATGCATTTGACAGTGGCCTAGTGCACAGCTTTAGCGGAATTTCTCAGTCAATTTCTCAGTCGGAGAAACAATTATTTCTATTTTTGGCAAAGTGCAAACACTTCACGATCTGATAAGATCAGGCTTGGCTGGTTACAGAGTGCTAATTGTGCATTGAGCACTTATCTCAGATAATTGGGTTCTGCAGGCAACAACCTGCCACGGCTCAGCATCCAATCGGCACGTACCATTACGTCTGTCACGGTCGCCCTTTATTAGTGAGACGAAGGGCGCACGCGCTCGCTCGTTCGCTCGTGCAAATAACAAAAAAAACCCCACACGGCTCCGCCAATTGTTTTATGGCGCAGAGGCAAAAGTCGCAACGCCGGCCGTTAAGAAGACGCGCGCGGACGGTCGCGCGCTCGACATCGGCGGCTGCCCGGCCGCGTGGCCCCCGCGAGAAGCACGAGAAGTGGGGGGGGGGGGGCCGGGGGAAAGGGGGGCCCAACTCCTAAATTATTTACGCCCCGGCAACACAGCCCATCCCCCCTTCCATTCACACCCGCCGCGAGCTCTCTCTATAAAGCCGTCCGTGGGACAAACGCGCACGCACACGCGCCCGTCTGGGAGTGCGTGCGCGTGCGGGGAGCGGTGGCGCAGTGGTTAGCAGCGCGCTGCGCTACGAAAGCGGTGACCCGAGTCAGATTCCCACTCACGGCCAACACCGGTGACGATTATCTGAACCGGTCCTGGGCCTCTCCTAGGTCGACTCAGCCTCAAACGAGTATCCGGTGCGGTGTGGAGTAAACATCGCCACTGGGGAGACAAAAGCAGCCGGAGGTGGTGCCGGCCACCCACTCCCTCGTGTGCCGTGCCGGCCTTTATCAACAGCACTTGCCCCAACAGTCTGCTAAAGGCTATACGGAGAGTCTTTGTCTTTTTGCGTGTGTCACGCACGCGATGCGTTGCGCTTGCATTTTGACAGTCAAGTCCGCCCCCCCCTCCCCCCCAAAGGCTGCCCCCCCACCACCCAACCCCCCCACCACCACCCAACCCCCCCACCACCCCCCAACTCTCCCACCACCACCCAACCCCTCCAAGCCCACCCAGCCAGCGCAAGCTCACTGCCCCCGCCTCTTCCCATCAAAAATTTATGTCGGCCACACAGTGCATGATTGAGCGTGTTAAATGATTGAATAAGTGATAAAGAAGCTCACGCTCAAACTCTTTTAGGCTTTTGAACATAGCTGATGGCGCGCCGCTAAGCGTGGACCCACGGCGCGAGTGCTCCGAGCGCGGCTGCACGGGGCAGATACATTCTGCAAGAGGCGGGGGGGGGGAGCATCCCCGCTATATATCCGAGATATATTGCGTGCGGAAATTTAAAACATATCGCATTAATTATTCACGTTTATTATTTGTTTGGCGCAAAAGATAACATGCGGCAAACCGCAATAAATACTTCGTGGGGAAGGGTAAATATTTAATGCTATTTTCATTTAAAATTAAGAAATGTGCGAGCGCCTAAGTGGAGGAATGATGCACGCCACTCCGAGCGCCGAAAGGAAAAACTGAGTGCAAGAACTCGCATCTAGAATTCGCACCGAACCGCGAACGGAGAAGTCGCCCTCCTGGCCTGGACGTGCGGCACAGTGGCGGCAAGCGACAGCCACCGACCGCCAACCCAGCTGAAGATGACGACGACATTGATGATAGAAGCATACGGAACTCCCAGCCCGCACACCCTGCTGTAGGTATAGATGGTCTCGAGTAATTGCCATGTGATGGTTGGGGACAGAGTCCCAGGTGAACAATAACCCTCATGTCGTTGTTAGGAACGGTGAACTTTTTCTTAGGACAATATGTTTCATGCCTGTATGTATGTACGAGGAACTTTTTTTCGCACTGTCTCGTAGCCAGAGGTGCGGGGGGAGGATAACAAACGAAACACAAAAAGCAGTTCTAAACAAATTATATTCTTGGGTCTTTCGGTAAAGTCACGTAGATAGGTTAAAAGAAAGTAACAAAAGTAAGAAATAAAAATAAAGTGAATAAAAATAATAAAATATCACGACATTTCGATCACAACACAAGCAATCGTCATCATGAGAAAAAAGAGCGGGAAAGCTGCTGAGTCAGGATGTTTAAAGGGTTTGAAATGGGTGTAGCCCAAGGGTCATAAACGAAGTTGGCGGAGCTAGTGATGTTAAAGTGAGAAATTTGCATGTAAATGTAAGATCGGAGAACTACCTCCTGATGACGATTGCTTGTGTTTCGATCGAAACGTCGTAGTTTTTGGTATTTTTGTTATTTTCTTTTAACCTATCTACGTGACTTTACCGAAAGACCCAAGAATATTATTTGTTTAGAACTGCTTTTTGTGTTTAGTTTGTTGTTCTCCCCACGCACCTCTGCTTAGCGCGGTTGGCTACGAACAAGGTCGCCCCGCCAGGCCATGAATTCCCGTAACATCATTGATGAGTTTGCACAAACGCGACGCGCCTTTGCTTTTTTTCTCTCTCTGTCTCTCTCCCTCACGAATATGAACCTTCTCATTAAGTTCGCCGCGGGGGCCCCCGGCGTGCACATCGCGGACTGGCGGCGCCGTCGCGGCACCGCCGCCTTCCGCGTGCGCGCTCGCGGCTTGTTAAATATTCAGGCTTTATGTAACGCGTGTCCGCGCTTCTTGCAAAGCTTTTTTCAATCTCTCATTAACGTGCAATTCTAAATTGCGCGCACCATTCTAGGGGCAGCCCCTGGGCACGCGGGAATTACAGGAAGAGAGAATATGCGGGTTTGCTAAAGGCTTCAAAATGGATTATACTTTCTAGCCCATTAGTCATTAAAACCATGCACTCTAATACCTTAAAGTCATGAAAATGCCACAATTACACGGCAAATTGATGCCCTGTGCGCACTTCTCAACAGCAGTGCATTTAGCCGCGAGATCTTGGACGGCTCGCCGGAGGCAGGCGGCGGCGGATGTTGCACGCGTACGGACGGTCTCGCTCGGAGGAAAGTGGCGGGGGGGGGGGGGGAGGAAGGAACAGGCGGAACCGCAGGTGCACGTGAAAGGAATCGTTTCGCTCGACGATCACAACGCTCGTCCCCGCGAGCGGCCTGCGAGTGTCGACAAACGAGAAACGAGCTGGGGGAACCGTCGAAGGGGAAACAGAGTGCCTGTCAGGAAGGAGCTCGGTTTCTCTGCCGCAGAGATGTATGCATACGTGTGTGTTCAACTTCTTTAGCACCGTACATGGCCAACCATGCTCATCGGAGGTGCGGGGCCCAATGATGACAAGACCCAAAGCAGACTAGGGCCTGGATAATGCTCGGAGGAGTGACCAGAATGCATACCAGGTAGTTACAGATTGCAGGGAATACAAGGTGGGGAGCAGAGGGCAGCTGGGAGCATAGACGCTCGCAGATGTACGCTCCCTGAACTGTGATATTGTCCACTCCGCGCGACGGCCCTTTTGGCATCGTAAACAAAGTCCACGCGTATTTCTGCTCAAAGGAGCGTTACGTGGCGGCGAGTTGCTTGGGGAAATTCCACATTTCCTGTGGCAGGGAGGAGGACTTTCTAGAGCACAACCACTTGTGAATCTGAGTGTTGTATGAAAACGTGTTGAAACTATGGGCAATTAAG